ATCCAGATCTTTCTGGTATAATTCCTCTGTGTATTCTTGCCACTTCTTGATGCCTTCTGCTTCTGTGAGGGCCCTACCATATTTGTCCTTTATCATGTCCATCTTTGCACAAAATATTCCTTTAATATCTTCAATATTCTTGAACAGATCTCTGGTTTTTCCCTTTCTATTATTTTCCTGTATTTCTTTGCACTGTTCATTTAAGAAGGCCCTCTTGTCTCTCCTTGCTATTCTTTGGAAGTCCGCATTCAATTTTCTGTAACTTTCCCTATCTCCCTTGCATTTTGTTTCCCTTCTCTTCTCTGCTACTTGTAAGGCTTCGTTGGACAGCCACTTTGCTTTCTTTCTTTCATTTGCTTTTCTTTGGGATGGTATTTGTTGCTGCCTCCATCCATAGTCGGCTTACTACATTCCCACAAATTCAATGGATTTTGTCTGGAATTAGAATTAGGCTCAGTTTCCAAAGTGCTTCAGATCAAAATGAGTTTCATTCTGGAAGTGAAAGAAAACACATTTACCATTAAAATGAGCCTGTCTAAATTTGGATATGCAGAATTACTTATAAAACAATTGAAATGACACAAAAATAGCTATAAGAATTTAAACAGAATAATACATCTTTTGTTCAGTGGGAGACCACATATATATGCTAGTGTTGATTTACACCGATACAACAACTCCTGCCAGCAAGACACTTGACAGCACAAGAGGCAGAAATGCTGTATGATCTTACCATGTTATCTGCTTTTACAAATAAAATTTGAAGGAGCAGGATACATTTACCCTAGAGAAGATATAATTAAAAGGCAGTGAGACAGCAATTTTCAAATACCGAAAGTCTGTCACAAAGCAAATGCAACAAATTTATCTTTAACTATATCAGATGGTAGGACTCGAGCCCAAGAATTCAAAACACAAGAAAGAGGATTTCACCTAAATGTTAAAAATATCTTTCTGATGTTCAAATTGTTAGCCATGGAACAGTCTGCCTTGGGAAGTGATGGGTTCTCCTTCATAAGAAGCGACTAGATGATTTTTTTGTTCAGCACCCATATGTGTCTGTACAGTGTCATCTGGTGCCAACTTATGTTATCTTGTATAATCTGTTTCCCCAAAAATAAGACCTAACCTGAAAATAAGCCCTAGTATGATTTTTTCAGGATGCTCGTAATATAAGCCCTACCCCCCCCCCCAAAAAAAGCCCCAGTTAAGTGAAACCCCATCCTCCACCATTGAGCAGCAACCAGAAGAAGATGACATGACTGTAAAATATAAAATATAAAACATTCCCTGAAAAGAAGCTCTAATGCGTTTTTGGAGTAAAAATTAATATAAGACCCTATCTTATTTTCAGGGAAACATGGTAGTATCTACTTGATATTGGCTATGATTTTCAAAGTTGCCTTGATAACTCAATTTGCTAACAGAGGCTGGGAGTTTGATTCTTCATTGTTGCCTCTTGAGAGAAGAACCAGCAAGTGTAGAAAGTTGCAAAGTCCTAGGTCGCTGCCATAAGAAGAGAATGTAAATCACTCCTGAATACTTTATATCTAGGAGATCCTGGGAAGGATTACCATAAATAAATCAGAACTGACTTGATATCATGGAATTATGTTTAAGATTTTCGAGTGTCTGCTCAACTTTCCATGATTCACTTGGCGTCAGCTTAGCAGAGTGTCCTTTATACTTATCTGTGTCTGCTGATGTTATTGGGTGTCTACTCAGTATTGTGTTCATGTCACTTGGTGTGTCTTAATTTACATTTAGAAACATGACAGGAAACTCTACACACATCCGCTTCCAGAAAAACCGAAGACATCAAAATTGGCACTCAGTAATGCAGGACGTGATGGCGCTGTGGGCTAAACCGCAGAAGCCTGTGCTGCAGGGTCAGAAGACCAAGCAGTCGTAAGATCGAATCCACGCGATGGAGTGAGCTCCCGTCGCTTGTCCCAGCTCCCGCCAACCTAGCGA